AAAAGGGATCGCGGCAGCAAAAAGAATAACAGAGGAAAAAAGAATGGGCGAAAAACATAGCCTCATCGCTCGACGATCAGCTGATTGTGTGTGGGTCCTAGAACGAAAATCTTCAATCTGTATTGTCTCGACACTCGTCTGACGTGACATCGGTCGAGGGGCGGAGAAGCGAATCAAGACAGCAACAGGGCTTCCACGATGCCCTGACCGTCGAGATTTTGTGAGCAAGAGGGACCTACCACCCATTGGGGCCACTGAGTATTCCTGAGAGAATGACTTTAACCATTTTATCGTGAACCGTGCCTTTAAGCGTGCGTAGCTCCATTGCTTCCTATTATATTTGGCGTTTATCTTTTCTACAATTATTCAGAAGATTCACTTTTCCATATCTTCTCCTAGACTCAGTGCAACATTTATTTCAAAAACTCACCCCTGTAATCTAATGAAAAGTAAAGTTGAAGCCGTTGGTGCTGGGCAAGTTCGAAGAAAAGTTGACAGTCATCATAGGAAATGCTCTATACGTGGTCAGGTGAATGAATCTCACCTCCTTAGGAAGGCAGTGCTTTTTTGAAATACAAATGTAGAAAAGTGCCGAGAATCGTCAAAAATCAAAGCAAACGCCATTACCTCTAGTAGAATGAGCAGAGCGACCGCTGGCTTCAGAGCGTCTCGCCAGCAATTGTCAATCAAAACTTCGGAAGAGGAGCGGTGATCTTCAAGAAATGGAAGTCATTCGAAAGTGTCTCCTATATTCTTATTCGTTCTTTGTGGCATATGATATACAAAAAATTTTTACAAAGGCTACGCGAAGTCTCACGAGGTTGGCTATTTATGGGCAAAACTTCAGTCTCGAACGGGACTCGAACCCGTACTTGTGTTTTCTAGGCACCGTGCTCCATCCCTCAAACTACCAAGACCCCGCTTGCCCCCGCCTACTTAATGGCTTATATTGTCATAGCTTATCAACACTCACACGTACAGCGTGTCGAGCTGGTCGGCCAATATCAGCACAGAACCGTTAAGCTGTAAGCTGTACCTGATAGAACTTGTTTCGACTTGATATTAGGTTGTAAGGAAGGTTTTGGCCGTTCTTCACGTCAGTTGATCACAATGTTTTGCTAAGGGTATTCGAAGAAGATCGACGTCAACCTTTGAGAGAGATTGCCACGTAGATGAGTGTCTCCCGCACAGTCGTTGCTACCCACCTCAAGCAGCTTGGAGTGGTGTAGAAGCTTGACAAATGCGTGCCACACGAACTCACGGAGCAGCAACAATCAAAGCGCTTAGAAATTTCAAGTTCGCTGTTGAGCTGTTGAGGAGAAATGATGTTTAGCCTTTTCCTAATCGTATTGTTCGTATTGTAACGTGTGATGCGAAATGGATCCTGCATGATAACAAGAAGCGTTCTGCTCATAATTAGGTAGGAAGGAGCCTCCAAAAACCTTTCCCAAACCTAGTTTACACGTGAAGAAGACAACGATCACAGTTTGGTGGTCCAGCCCTGGATAAGTCCACTACGCTTTTCTTCCTCCGGGCCTAACCATCACCGCACATTCCCATTTTGATCAATTCCACGAGGTGTACACGAAACTGGGGCAAATGCAGCCAGCACTAGTCAGTCGCCACGGTTCACTGCTCTTGCACGACGGTGCACGACCGCATGTGTCACAAATTGTCTTCCAGAAGTTGAACGAGCTGCAAATCGAAGCTTTCCCTCATCCACCCTACTCACCAGACCCGTCACCAACTGGTTACCATTTATTCAAACATCTGGACAACTGCTCAAAGGATCGAGTATTCAAAAATCAAGGCAACGAGGAAGCTGCCTTTCTCGAGTTCATGGAATCCAGATCTTCGGGCTTTCATAAGAATGGGATAGACAGAATTGTATCTTCTCGACAAAAATGGGTAGAATCGAATGGGGCTTAATTTGAATTAAAATGCTCACTTTGAGATGAGTTATGATTTTTTGAAAGTCAGCTGTCAAATGGCCAGAACTTTACTTACAACCTAATATTTTGTTAATTGCTGTTATTTCGCCGCAGTACGCGTTCCGAAAGTCTCACAAGGTTGGCGTCATTATAAATTACTCGATTCAGGCAGTAATGTGGCGCCAGTTTTTTGTTTAGTCGCATTTTTGAACTGGTGCACTTTCTTGTCATTTGGTTTTTGCTGAACATTTTGTTAATGGGATATAGAAAAGAAATTCCTTTCAAAGCACAACACAGTAGGACTCTTCTTGGAAACACAGATCTGTTCAGGAGCGTCACATCAACAATGAGTTGCTTGTCCCCAGGCTTTTCATATCAATTTTATAAAGAATCCGGAATTCGGCCCCAAAGTGGAAGTCATTCCTGCGACCACCCTGAACAGCTCTTTGGCTGCTGTGCCCCATCACTGAAATGATTGAGCAGTTATAAAAGTTGAGACAAATGCTCTTAGGTGATCTACTAAGACATAGAAATAGTCCTGCGCTCTTTGTTTAATTCTTTTTGCTACATTGAACTTAAATTGACCTAGTGGATTTTCTTCTTTTTGTGCTTGCCTCCCTGAAGTGTGTATCTAGTATCTGTGACTAATTCTCAACATTGGAACTTCTCAAGCTTTCTTTTGTACTTCTTCGGAAGTTGTCTGTTTTTTCTAGATCCACAATCGTGCGACTGCTCTCTACTAATGCCTGAATTGCGATTGATAAGTATGACATCATTTCCAGATGGGATGACACGAAAACATGCGTTCAGTTGTTGTGTTGGAACAATACAATGCCGTACGTGAACAGCTGCAAGCCCGTATTGCGGAAAAAATTCGGAAACAAATGAGCACACTCGTATGTTATTTGAGCACTTTTCAACGATGAACGTATGCAAAGGGCGAGTATAGGTAGGCGCTAGTTTGCATTAAGCAGCGGTGGTGGTGATGGCGACTGCGTCGGCTGACTTTCGCCGCTTCTCAATTTTCAAGTGACTATCTGGAAATTAGCAATTTTTGTGCTGTGCATGTTGTCACTTGGGATTTTGGACGAACGAACGCCTCAATCGACGTTTATAAGGCAGTTTTTCTTATGGCCACCATCGAAACTATCATGTACAGAAGAAGCCTTTTTTATGTCGTAGCGCTCGCCGAAGTGGTGGCTTTCCTGCTATTGTTTTCTAAGGATGCGGTCGATTGGTATCCTAAAGTGATCCTCGTGCTTCTATCATGTATTGACATAACTCGTAATACTCAAATGCTTCCGTTCTGAGGTTCTACTACATATCATTGCGCTTTTATGTTGTTTAAACTGTCAAGGATCAATAACATCGTCGAAAGTCCGACGAAAACATTGGAAAATCGTTTTTGAGAAGGCGGACCCCCAAACATCTCAAAAGAGTTCGTACTTGGTAGTTCCTCATGATTGTTCGTTCTGAGCGCTTCGCAAGTAATTTCGGTAGGTAGAGTAGCGAGTCATTGTATTTCGAGAATATCGGTCTAATCTCCTTGACTCGTCCATGCATTCTGGTAATAATTATTGGCGATTTTTACTTATCCCCTTTCTCTAATTTTCTAGTAAGATTTTAGACATGGATTTTAGACATTTGATTTTGATTTGATTTGATTTTATTACATGAGCGCTATATCAATGTGGAGAACCGCAGAAAAACAAATGATAGTAGAGCACTCAGAACAGAATTCGTTACTAAACAGATAAACACATAAAGGAAACGTGCAATCAAAACACAAACGAACAAAGGAGAAAGCAACAGAAAATTAGAACAACATAGAAGAGTTCAAAGAAAAAATAGTGGGCAAGCAAATAATGAAAGGCTAAAGCATGTGTTGGGCAACAATTTTCCGAAATAGAGCAAAACTTTTAGGCAATCCTCCCCTCTTAACGTGTGTATAAGTGCATGTATGTGTGTACGTGTGTGTATGTGCGTATGTGTATGTGTCGATTTTGTTGAATGCAGACCTAGCTCGGTGGCAGAAAAAAATTATTCGAAGCCTGGTTCTAGATCTGGGAATAAAAACCTCGGCATTTCCGCCACGAGCGCGATGTTCACCGGCAGAAAGGAGCTTACATTTATTGACAGATATCTTACCACAGAGAATTTTGAATAAGACAAATAAGTCATTCTTCAATCAAAAGACAATAGTGGCCCTTTTGGAATTCTGGCATGGTCATAACCATGAACTCTGATCACCAACTTTCTGGTGAAGTCATTTTGAACTTTCTCATGCGCATTAATGAGTTAATGCTTGAGAGAAGTGTAAATGACATCCCATATTCTAGTATCGGACGGATGTACGTTTTATAGGCACGCAGGAGGATATCGGAATTATTCCATTATTCATAATCCTCACAAGACTGGAATACTGACAGTCGGCTCAATCACGAACACATACATGGTCGTAAATGCCATTTTTGCCAGCTCGTTGTCCACTAAGAATTCTTCACGACCTTCTTGACCCCCCGTTCCAAACTTTCATGGATCGAGATCTAGCCGTGGCCTCATTTTGATAAGTCGGATATATTGTGACGAATCCTTAGTTGTAAACCTAGACTATAGTATTAACCTTTTAGGTTCTCTTTGGTCTCAAGTAATTTTTCAGCATCGATTCTTTCCTTTATAACTGAACTGGTGCTGGATGGTTTGTTAACTGCTATTATTTCACCACAGCACGCGCTGCGAAAGTCAACAGTAACAAGATAGGCAAATTAGGGACAAAATTTTGTAGTGGGCTGTTTTCATCATGACTAATTCAATGCAGAATGGAGAAAAATTGAATGAGCTTTCTAAAAAAGGCCTGCTAATCAGATATAATAGGTGCGAATTAACATGGCTGGTGTGGGTCGACATGATAAACTCGGACAGCCTTTCACCCTGCTCATTCCATTCCATTTAATTCCGTGAGTCACGATGAGGAGCTCTTCAGGCGTTCCTCTGGGCCAATACCGGCGTTGAAATCACCGACAATGACCTCGAAGAAAGTGTGATCTCTGTAAAACCTCTTCAAGTCAATGTAGAACACTTCCAGTTCTTCCTGGATCGTTGTTGGTACTTAGACAGCGACGATTGTTAGTGCTGGGGTTAATCACATCTTCTCAATCGTTAACGTCCGATTCGGGTTGTCAAATTTTCGTACGGATCGATGTTCATGGCCAAGTTCATGTTGATGAGGACACCTGCGCGCTGACGTCTCTGCTGTCACGTGTTCTGAAGAAGACACGAGAAACAGTTCTCCATTTTCAAAAATGGCGTGCAGCGAGCCGTGCCTTCTCGTCTCAGTCAGTTTGATGACGTTGTTCTTGACCTTCCTGGCTTGCATCATCAGGTCCTCGATACACGCTTCCGATGGAAGCGTCTGCGCATTGAAAGCGCTGATCGCCATCTCAGTCTTTATCCTTTCAGGCAGCTTGTTATGGCTCTGAGATTTTATCAGCCTCTCCGGTCTGTCCTACCCAATGCCGTATTCTGGACTCCCTTAGGTCCAGGCGAATGAGGCCCATTTATATGTGTTTTTGGCGTATGGGTACCCAAGAGTAGCTTGCCAGGCTCATTGTGGAGGCTGGGCAGACTCCGGGTGCTAGCCAGGCTATCCCAGAGTGGGCGAAGAGTTTTGTCTTTGAAAACTGCCCCGAAGGCCTCCTAGACACTTCCTAGTCACTCGAATACAAGCTTACGGCTGAGTCGATGGGCAGGATACCAACTGCACCCACGGACTCTAGACATACGTATGCGTGGATACACCTGCGAATACAGATGGTACATCGACTACCCCGTAATCGCCACCTGGGGATGCCACGTAATGCCCTAGTGCCCAACTCTCAGTGAAAGAGATTCATTGTCACCTTTTGGACAGATCCATAATGAAATAGATCAAATCATCTTTAATCGAAAATTTTGCCTGATTGACCTCGCTGTCGTTCCGGAGTTCTACATGGGATTAGACTGTCGTCTTTTCCGCACTTGATTGTTTTCATTGCGTGGAGAGAGAGCTGCGAAGTTCACGAAAGGAAGCCCCAACACTGTTGTCAACTCACCCCGCTTTGACTGCGAATTTGTGGAAGATTACGTTAGCGACAACATCGATAAAAAGTGTACAATCGGCTTGTCAAACCTCTTTGCAATAGTGCCAGCAAAGCAGAGAATCTAAAAGATGCCATGAAAGGTTTTTCTTCGTAGTCTCTTGAGCTAATGCGAGGAATCGCGCGTTTCCTGACACTTCAAGAGGATTACTCTGACGGATGGCCAGAACAGTGTCGTAATTTGAGGACAGTGGACGCTCGCTTCGACGAAATTCGTGGAAGCAATTCCCTCCTCAGAGGGAGCGATAGTGCCATTCATGGTAGGAGACAAGAGAGGGTGCACTGCTGCCCATCAGTGTCCCACTCCTAGCCTGAGTGTCTAAGCGATCAGTTTCGTGATGGTGAAGCAGAAGGCTCCGGTAGTCTCAACGATGGCACATCGTTCAGTTGACGATTACTTACTCGAACGGCCACTCAAGTACCGGTCAGCTGTATTTGATTTATCAACAATGCCCTTTTCCTGTTATCGAATCTGTAGTCCTTCTTTAGCGCGTTTAGGAGCAATATGCTCTCGCAGTTGAGAGGCACAATTCTCTCAAAACTTTCCGGGCGCCCTGATAGTAAAGCCTAGTTTAACCTAGTTTTCTCATATTGCCCTTTATATGTAATTTGGTTTTCTCCTACTGTTACTATTGCTATTAGTGAAGTAATGAAATGGTTCTCGAGCTTCTGCTCCTTTCTTTAGCTGGACGTAAACCTATCCGATACTTGTAAGCGTCCAAAAGTATAAAAGGAGACTCCAGACAAAGGAAAGGACGACGCGTACCATATCCCGCCACGGCGCCGCGCTACCCGCCTGCTAGTCGCGCGGCTTCAGAAGCGCGATATGGTATTCGTCGTCAGCGTGTCACGGGGTCGCCAATGAGTTAAATGTGTAAAGCACTTTGAAGCATCTAGTACTGGTTAAGAATACCAAAGACTGTAATGCAATTTATATAACTTTATCTAGGTCGGCAATATGGATAGTGCTGACCTGCTGCTAGTGGCGGCAGATGGTCGTAAACTTCCGGTACACGAATGTATATTAAGAGCACGAGCTCCAGGATTTTATCAATGTCACATTGAAGCTACCGTATCAGCAATGGGTCGGCAAAATGGACGCCTTAGAGAGGTACGAATTATATGCATTTTCGATGGTTTGGCCCTCTTCGCCGTCATTATGAAGGCATTTCTTTGAATTGAAGCATATACCCATCTACGCGTTGCTATCAGCGAGTGCCAATCTGGATGAATGCTGTATGGACAGGCCTTCCTCGATTATCGGATTTTTCGTTGACTCTATTGTTTTAGGTGGCCATTGGCGACATCGACTCGTCCGGACTAGAGTTCTTCATACACTCCGTATATACGGAGGACGAGATGGCTCAGTTTCCATCATCAGTAGATGACGAACGCCGTAAGCCATCCTTAGAGTTCTCTGAGTTAGCCATAATCAAAGATCGTTCGGGCTTTATTAATAGCTTTGTGTCAACTGATAGATTATGATTTACTTTGTGATAATTGTCGCCAGTATCTGTATGAGAGAAAGCTTTACACGTGGTTTTCAAGAGCTAGTTCGATTCGTGCTTACAGAATCACTCGCTTGTGTCAGACGTACTCGCTCTTTCTAGCTACAAGTAAGCAACAAATTGGTTTTTCATTGCAAAATAAAATGCAAGACTGCTTTGAAGCGTGCTTGAAATTGGTGATTTCTCTGCTTGAACTCTTAGCGTTATTGGCGGCTGACATTTTTTCGGGATCGCCTTCTTCAGAGCATGGAAAGCTCGGAGCGATTTATGACTACACGACAAAACGCGTCAACTACCATGCTGAACTTTGAGACCTCAGAAGTCATTACGTGATCGTAGGGTAGGTCATTTACCACAAATTAGTCCGGTTTCGAGACCGCTTAGAAGTCGGCATTGGAACAGTAAGCACTTCGGACCGGATGTGATTCAGAACATCGATGGGAGGCCAGCCTTATACACGGTTTTACTTCCCGCGTGATTGTGAGGCATTCTGCCCTCCGGTTCCTTTTCGACGTGGTAATCTGGATCGAGAATGCCTCGAGGGTTTTCCGGGCGGGTGTTTGCGATCTCGCGTAAAGCCCTCGACCGTGACTCGAAGTCGACCCCGTAATGAATTTTCACCCTGTGGACGCTTAAGGCAGTTGACATGCGCGACCTGCCCTTGCCCTGTGAGTGCTCCTTGTTGCGTACATGCTGCGACCTTGCCGTTTCACCGATATACACATCTCCACGGCTGCAACATGGTATCCTGTAGACCTCCCCGCAACAGTGCAGTCGCCCTCCTTGAAGGTTGGACAAACCACACAATTAGCGGTTGAGCATGAGCGGACGCTGAGCACATTGCAAACCAGCCGATGCTTTAGGTTGTTCGGTGGTACATCCTAAATGGCAACAAGATTTCCCAGATCTGACGTCCCAAGACACTTCCTTACGCAGGTACTAACGTCATCAGAGATGACTGGTACCAATAAACAGTCAAGTCGGGAAAACGTAGTTGCCATTTGGATGTACCACCCTACAACCTAAAGCATCGGCTGGGTTGCATTCGGCTCAACGACCGCTCATGTATAACCCCTGTGTGGTTTGTCTAACCGGCAAGGAGTCGCGGGGGGGGGGGGGTGGTCTACAAGATACCATGTTGCAATTGTAGAGACGTGTCTATCGATTAAACGGCAAGATCGCTGTACGTACGCTTCAAATAGCACTCAGAGAGCAAAGGCAGGTCATGCATGTCAACTGCCTTAGGCGTCCACAGGGTGAAAATTCATTACGGGGTTGACCTCGAGGTCACGGTCGAGGTCTTAACGCAAGAGTCGCGAACACCCGCCCGGAAAACCCTCGAGGCATTCTCGTTCCAGGTTACCAAGCCAAAAAGGCACCTGAGGGAAGAATGCCTCACAATCACGCGGAAACTAAACCGTATATAAGGTTGGCCTCCCATCGGTGAGTCTGAATCACATCCAGTCTGAAGTGCTTACTGCACCACTGCCGACTTTTAAGTGGTCTCGAGGGCCGGACTGATTCACGGTTAGTGACCCACATTACGACCACATGATGACTTCTGAGGTCTTGAACTTCAGTAGGGTAGTTGAGGCGTTCGGTCGGACGGTTACAAACCGCTATGATCTTCCCAGACCCTAAAGAAGGCGATCTCGCCGAAGCATTAGCCGCCAATGAAGGATTTTATCAACCTTGCCTGAAGAACAAGCAAAGAAATCAACGGTTGCACCATGCCGAGTTAAGAGAAACATGGCGCTTGCTTGAAAATTTAATATTGAGGTGCAGCTCGATTTGATGAAAAAGCCAAAAACGCTTCGTTCATATGCAAGCAGCCCATTGCACTTTCTGGCACATCGGATCTTTTTTGTTTTTGAAATGAGCTGTACCATATTCTTGCTGACAAAATGGTAACGAACTAGTAAAGTCACCGCAGCACTAGGGAATGGGCGGAAATTAAATTCATTTCCCTCGGTCGGTTGACTCCTTAACCTTCTGATTAAAATCATTCTGTTGAATATCTCCTTTTTCCATGCCATATTGTTCACGATACTAATTTCATTACGCTTTCAGACGACTCATGTGCATCCAATCGATCACTCGTAATGGATGAATCCACAGTCGAGATGGATTTTCTCCAGAGAGGGACGGTTAAGAGGTACTAGTAGTGTTCGCATATTCCTCATAAATATATAATCCCACTACCATGACCGATTCCTTATGGCGGCCTTCAATTCTTACTCCACTTCAGGTCGTTAGGAGAAGAGACTCCGACCACCGGACGGCCGCCCCTCAGTGACACACTAGCGTCCGGAGTTCGTCTAATTCACACTATACTTGATAGGAGCACTAAGTTTGAATGAATTCCAGAGTTATTCTTCTTCTCCCCGTCGGATAATGTCGTCATCGACGCATGCACAAATGTCGTCGGGTACAACAGCTCATCAAACGTTAGCACATGCTATGCCTTCCCCTGCAACTTCAATGTCATCGTCGGCTCCAGTGATGACGTCGTTCAGAGATTTAGCCTCCGGTTCGCCGATGACTAGTTCTGCGTGTTCTCCGGGCGGAAGAAGCGAGGCCATTGATATACGTGAAGGAGATGATATTCCCACTATTGAAAGAAGTAGGAGCAGAAGGGGAAGTAAGCAATGAAGTTCGTTCGCTAGCCAGCCCCACTTTCACCAATGTTTTATGTACCATTAAAATTTAGTTTCGATGAGCAAGTTCATACAGTTGGACAGAGAGGAATTGAGGGATATCCAAAAGGAATATCTTGAGCAGAAGCGGTCACGAGAAGGTCAGGATGCGGTTTCGTTCAGCATCATTTAATTATATGCACTTTTTCCGGGAATCTGCCTATTCAAACCTTTGAGATAGGGGGTTTTTTGTTTTTGCTTCCGGTTCTTGCTGAAGCCCTTTGTTTTATTGTTCACGACACTGAATTTTTCAAAGAAATCTGCTAACATCTACCGCAGAACTTGTACCGTTAGTGCAAGTCTTTCTTCTCAGGACCGAAACGGATTTTCCCGATGTTTATTGGATTGGCAGACAGTGACTTGGATTGTGCTGCTGATGTGCCTCGTAGTGGACGAATTATAATGACCAAACGGCTATCGATGATGTCACTGACATCATTAAATAGTATCGATATCACGCCTACATCTGAAGGTTTGTGCACAGCATGGCAATGTTCTATACTTGGTTCGAACTACCTTTGTTTCAAAGTGGTGCAATGGCCGCATTCCATTCTGTCAAATTTTTTTTCTCGAGCTTAGTAACTATTCTATCTATCCACAGCGTACAAATGTAGCTGCCCTTATACTCATTGTCTTCAGATATTTTAATGTTGACTTTGACTTGTTTTCATTATAGATCTTATAAAATGCTTAGCTAGAAATAAATTTATGCTTCATAAATATAGCTCAAGATAAAAATCCCTTACTAGAATATCAGACACATTATGATAATATTGGGTACGCATCTACTTAACTTCTTGGTCAGGTTTGACTTCCGTCTAGGGCACGTCCGAAACGGAAATCAGACCACATCTTTGATTTCATTTATAAAACTCCTTTAATTTCATAAAATTTTTCGAATGTAAACATTCATAGTACTCCATTCGTGCAATGATCGCTTTTCCTAAGAATTCGTATTTTGAGCAACAGAAGGTGTTTGAACATCCTAAGCAAAACAGATTCATGGCTTCGGATCTTCCATGTTGCATTTTCTTAGTTCAATTTAAAAAACCAAAATCAACGTGCTGCGCTCGACTCCTGTCTTCGAAACGATTCTAATTTTACGTCTTTCCCGAACTTCTTCTCCAAGTGGTGGTCTGTTAGATAGTTAATCTTGATTCAGACAGATGTCAACATTGAAAGTAATATATTTTAAGGTTAGGTTACAGTAAGCGGGTTTTATGCCATTACACGACCTGCACTGAAAAGGAAAAATTATCACTAATCTAATCATTTCATGGCAATCCCTGATTAGGAGGTTTCGCTTTACACTCGACAAACTCAAATCATAACGATTACGTTGGTCAATCAAGTAGTTGTCTCCGCACAATTCATATTCCGTCATCGTCCCAAACTGAACTAAAACAGATACAGGGTGCCAAAAACGAAGTATCAAAGCAACACAGTCGTTTGATAGAGTGAAGACCAGATTATCGCTGACGGTTTGTGTGATTACACAACTAGTGATTAGTCATGAATAGGCGAAGGAAAAGAGGCAAGGATAGCAAAACTATTTTACGTTGTCTATACCCTAAAATTCCATCAAGTTAAACGTATATCGGTTTACTTTTGAAATGCACGTAGTTTTGGAAGACATGATTCTACTGTTAGTTCTTTTGTTCCTGAACTTCTTACTTCTCTCGCCGCGACGCGACAATTTCGTACCTACTGCACCACACCACCACCGGTAGTTTTGATAGGATAGAGGAGAAGGAGATAGATGTGAAATCCATCTATTCGTTCGAAGGATAAAGCTGTTGTACCAAAGTAGTTCGTAAAACATGACGATTTTGTGGTGAAAGATCTGAATGTTGCCTCTATACCCAATCAAAAACCGAAATATTCGAAAGTTAGAGGGGAAAGATGCACATGTTCTACCTTCGTGTGACCTGAACGCTAAGAGTCCTTATAACGTGCTTGCGCATGTCTGTCTATTTGTTTGTTTGTATTGTACGGAGAATCCGAGTATCACCCGAACAAGCACCGGACCAGATTTGGGATGCGTTGACCATAGGGTAAGATCAGCAGAGCACAGGTGAGCTCATCGGAGTAGGCCGTGTCACGGGCGAAACTCCTTGGCAGGTTCATAGCAGCCCCGACGAAGAAAAAAAATGAGCAAGAGTAAGGGATGGGTCAACTGATGAAATGAAGGACACTCACCTGCGGTGTGTGAGACGTTCTCGCAGTGGCAATCACTTTCCACATAGATTCATAAGTCGATTCTACGAAAGCATGGAGGAAAGGAAAAATAAAAGGAATCAGCAAGGCTTCATGCGTGCTGGACATGATGGCGACGTGAACTGGTGAAACCCCGCCCACCATGGGCAGAGTGTGTTTGAATAGGAGCTAATTACTTTTCAATATATGAATATTTCTATTCAAGCCATTTAGAATGCAAAAAAGTGGCTGGAGGCTATAGAAGAAGTGTGGCCAAACACTAGAAGTGGGCGTGGTTTGCACTCAGGTTAGCGGGGCTAAGATCAAAATTCATAACTCTCTTCAAAAACCTTTCAAAAGGCAGGAAAAAGTGGTTGGAGAAAATAGAAGGAACATGGCCTAATTTCAGAAGTGGGAGAAAATGAGCAAAAGTTAGAGTTACAGGAGGGGGAACAGATCGGGCGAAGTCGACTCATCTGCGGTGAGCCAGGCGTTCGCAAACTTCTTGCATAAACTCATAACCCATCACAGCCTATATTTTCGAGGGGTGAAGCACAGATCGAAATATTCATATCTGTTTGATGGGAATGGTATCTTTTTCTCGGGAATCGCTCCCCACACATTCGCGCGTGGTCGCGCTCTGAGGAAATGGTTTGAATATCCAATGAAAGGATACGGTAGCCGCCGCGAACCACTGCCGCTTGCCGTTGGAATTTGGGGAGAAGTTGCGCCACCCCTACTCGATGCGTTCTTGATTGTGACGCACGCGTTAATGTACGAAGCCCAACTGGTCTGATATAACCCTCCTGTGAGAAGACCGTTCAATTTCAATTTCTAAATACGAACTCTGTGAGTTGGAAGAGCTAAGATATTTGTAAGAGAGAATACTTCGTAGTGTGAGCTATTGGAACCTTTCCGTCTACTTGATATTTTTTGACAAAATAAGAACTCCACATTTTATAATAAGGAAAATATGATTAGCATGGATATAAAACTACCAACCAGACATTAGTAGATCTACATGGAGGGGAATATGGGAACTAAAGATTCTTGTTAGCATTTAAACATCAGTGAATGCTTAAATAAATTCTTGTCCACGTTAAACATCACTGAACACTCTTAATTCTTGTTCACATTTTAACAACAGTGGATTTTCTTAAATCAAAAGTAGACCAACTAGTGTACCGTTGGTAGTAGTTTCATACCCATGCTTACTCTAGTAAAAGTTTTCAGACGATTAAACCCCGACTGTCTCACTTGTTCACTGTGGAAAGATGGAACAATATCCCAAAATATCGGCCAATACTGAAGACGATAATTTTTGAACACTACAGTAGCACTTCGAAACATGGCCTAGAAAAGCGAAAAATGGGAGAAATAGAGCCACATTAAATAGGCCTGACTCAGGTTAGTTATGTTAAGGGTTCAAGTTTCGTTTATCGAAGTGGATCCGTGGGTCCCCCATTACAAACTGTGCAGGGCCAGAATGTTGCTCCTGTCTCCCATGTGAACAAAGCCGTATCTCTTCTTCATCACTTTTCAGAACAAGACTGAGTTAAAGATTTGGCGGGAATTTCGCAATAGGGAGGCTGGTTCCTGCTGAAGGTGAGACTATCGGCTGTGCTGTGTACGTTCAGCATTTTGTAGGAAAAAAAGAAATTCCCAGCGTTGCATGGAAGGAGTATTTGGACGAGCTGTCCAGATGTATGCGTATCCGACTATAGCGACTCTTGCGCTATTTTTGGGGGATACCGATTCATTGCAGCGGGCGATGCCTTCTCGTATCGGTCAGTCCGATGGCGTCGCACTTGGTTTTCCTAGCTTGCATCATCAGGTCTTCTACACAAGCTTCCGATGCATTGGAAGTGCAGATCGCCACCTTAATCCTTCCTTTTTAGGCAACCTGTTTTGGCCCTGAAATTTTAGCAATCTCTCCCGAACGGTCCTATCCAACGCTGCCGTATTGGGGGCTTCCTCAGGTTCAGGGGAATGAGGCCCATTTCTATCACTGTTTTTGGCGACTAGATACCTAACGTGCAGCTTGCCAGGCTCTGACGTGGGGGGATAGGTTAATTCCGGTGGCTTGCCAGGCTATCCCGAAGTTGAAGTGAACGAGGTTTTTTGTTTTTGGAGGCGGCCCCGAATCGCCTCCCAGATACTTCCCAGTCACTCGGATGCAAGCTTTTGGCGTCGAGTCGATGGGCAGGATACCGACTGCACCCACAGACTCCTCACACACGTATGCGTGGATACGCCTGCGAGGAACGGATGGTATATCGACCCAGCACAGCAGAATCAAGGAGTCCATCCCCTGAATCCATCTGTGTCTCTGGGCAAGTACCGGTGACTTTTAGTCGTCGATTAATTCCCCTATCCGCCACCTGGGGATGCCCTACGTAGCCTCGTCACTAACCTATTGGGGATCCTTCAGTGAGTGACAACTCACAGTGAAGAAGGTCTGTAGTGTACTATTATATAGAATACTACGGATCTATCTTAGTATACGCTATATTTGAGACTGGAGAAGAACTGTTCCTTGGAACATGCGACGGCAGAGGCGTCGGCGGCGTAGGTGTCCTCGTCATTACGCACTTCTTCATGAACATCGATTCGTACGAAAGCTTAACAACCCAAATCGGACGTTCGCGATTAAGATGATGTGGCTCAACCACAGCTCTAACCATCTTCGTAGCCTACGTACCCACATCGAGCTGCGAGGAAGAGGAGTTGGGACCGTTTTATATGGATCTGGAGAGGCTCTACAAAGAGGACCACACTTTCTTCAAAGTCATCAACGGTGATTTTGACGCCAAGAGTGGCCCCAGAAGAAAGGCCGAAGAGCTCCACATCGGGACTCACAGAATGGAATGGAATGGAATGAGCAGGGTGAAAGGCTGTCAGTGTACATCATGTCAACCCACACCATCCATGGTAATTCGCAATTCCAGAAGCCGTCTCATTTGCGATAGACATGGAAGTCACCCGATGAACAGTTCTATAATGAAATAGACCACATTATCTTCAATCGGAGGCCTGACCGACGTCGCTGTTGTTCCGCAGTTCTAAACGGGATCGGACCTCCTCGCTGGATTCCACTTCTCAGTGCGTGGAAAGAGAGCTATGAACATCAGGAAACGCGAGTGCTCTAGCTATTTGTATCTAGGTCGAGAAGTTAATATGATGGACCCAGCTATGTGTATCTAGGTCGGGAAGTCAACATGATGAAAGACCTAGTCCAGAGATGTGCAGAAGGAAACGCGCCGCGTGGGGAGCATTTAAGAATATCGAGGTAGTAGTGAAGAAGTCAAAGAACATCGGGCTCCGCGCTCACCTTTTCGTCACTGCTGTCCTTCCTGTTTTGAGGTACACCTCGGGGACTTGGACTTTACGAAAGCAGGAAGAGCATGCTGTCAGCGTTACTCAACGCCCTTTGGAAAGGACGATGCTCGGAATTTTCCTATACACGCAGCTGCAGAAGGGAATCTGGAGTTCCGAGTTCCGTCATCAAATGAAAATCGGGGATACCGTTGATTACGCCAAGAAATCGAAGATCAGGTGGGCCGGACACATTATGCAATGTAGTGATGACCGTTGGACCAGGGCGGTTACTGAATTGATCCCTCGGACATCAAACGAACTCCAGGACGGCCGCCAACGAGATGGTCAGCCTTCTTCACGAAAGTTCTGAACGAAGGAAATCACCTGTCCCTGAAGCGAGCACGATTCACTGGACCACTCTGGCTCAGGACAGGGACGAATGGAGGCGTTACTGGCGCCCGCTCGAGGAAGTCGATGATCAACGGGACTACAGGTGATACAGATGATACAAAACCGCAGGGTGAAATATCAGAAACGTTTTTATAGTGAAATGTGCCTTGTTGATTTTGTTATTGCTCATTCCGTTTCCGTCTACTAAGCATTCAGATGTGAGGCTTTTAGCTTTTTGAGATTTTCAGCTTTAGTTTCGAAAAAGGAATTATTTTTCGTTACGTTCTTAGGTTTTCACTTTACAGATGCGGTTAGTTCTGTTCCTTTTTCTCAAAAATATTCTTTTTTCTAGATCATTTCATACTCGATCCCAGACCTTTGAGAATACCCTAGTTGTGAGTCTGCGACACACGATTCTCTAGGCACCTCTCTGGCGCCGTTTTGCACTGTTCCTCCATGATTCTCGAACCTTTTTCAGTTTTGAGTTTTGTTCTCGCTATTTCTTGTCTGAGCCTGCCTTTTCGACTGCCTGATTCCTTTTAACAGGGATTACGGAAAATCTTTTAGAAGTCCGGTTACTGTTTTGCCTCACACGGGCCTTTATTTTTCTGTCGGGATAGTGGAATATTTTCTTGTTGTTGTTGTTTCGCGTTACTTCTTAAGAATTTGCTGTAAACAAATTCCAGTTCAATGGTAATAGTTACAAAATTGATGATGAGTTTTTTCTTGAGTCATAATTTTCCTACAAAATAGCTCCGTGTGATACATGTTTGAAATCGAAACAAATGTGTGTGTGTTGGACGGTTCGCTGTTACAAAAAACAACAAACATTAGAAATATGATTTTTTTGAGTGCACTCGGTTTGTAAGGTGAAGGTGATTTCCTATCATTGCGGAAGGTAAGGTGACAGTGGAATACAATTTTGACATTTTCGCTGTTAGTGCTGAGTGCCTTGTGCTTCCGGATGCTGGTTCCAGTAAGCTCACGCTCCGTTCTGATTTTCATTTTGAATGTAGCTTATTTCTCTCACAGCACGACGCTGTTTCCTGTCATAGTTATGCAATCGCAGGCACTTTCCCATGGAATTGACCCTCAGACGCCAAAAATATTTAACTCAAATGCAGCGTCGGGTAACTCTTCCGAGCCAGAGTTCTGTTGTACCACCGATGTAACCTTCACAGTTTCTTTTCTTTATGCTCGATAATGAAGATGAATGGGACGTTTAATAACTACTTAGTCTTAACACTTACTCAATTTTCCTCGCACCCAGGTGTGAAGCAGCTCTATTAATGCTAACATTAAACCGATACTCGAAAGGCTGAATGATTCAGACGAGTTGACAGATGCTGAATTTTGTTGTATGGACGGCGCTTCGGTAGCATCTGAAGCATCCCATGGCAAAATGATTGCCGTTGGTGGCCTCAGAAGCCACGGCGTGTCAAACGACCACCCCCTCTGCAGCGCTGCTAAGCTGACATGCACACCCACCATTACGACCCGATTAGAATTGGTGTATCGCTTCTAGTCACAGTGATAACACTAGTTACCATTGAAAACCGTTCTAATCAGAAGTGTGTCCGTGGAAGGAGCACTTTCTCGGAGTGTGCCAAACTCTGTACGGTCAAAGTCACCTCGCTTTTAGGTTAGGTGCGATGTGACCTCAATGGTACAGAAGTCCCCTCCATTTGCTCGACCGTATCAGCAACCATCTGCCTTCCGTGGTGGTGTCAATACTGGCAATTGAATCACTGACGATTACTTTGAAGAATTGAATCTGTAGACTCACAAGGTTGACGACTTATGGACAAAACTTCAGTCTCGGAGGGCAAGTGGGCTCCCGGTAGTGTAATTGATAGAGCGCGATGCCCGGAAAGCACAGGCGGGTTTGAGTTCCATTCGAGACTGAATTTTTGTCCATAAATCGCCAACCTTGTGAGATTTTCGGAGCGCGTAGTGCCGCGAAATAACAGCAGGAAACAAAACATCAAGTCAAAATAAGTTGGATCTGTAGAACATTTTCAGGTCCAAATAGAACACTTCCAGCTCCTCTTCGTAGTTTGATGAGGCAAGAAGATTGGTAGGGCTGGGCCACTTTTTCTCCATCGCATCTGATTCGAGTTGCTAAGCTTCCGTATGTATCACTGTTTAAGGCCAAATGCAGATGATAGAGACATTTACACCGCTGACGCCTCTGCCTTCGCATGTTGTTCTTCTCAGTTGCTGGAAACTGCGTGCAGCTGGCGATGCTTTTTCGTCTCGGTCACTCAGATTCCCTCGCTTGCATAATCAAATCTTCGACACACGTTTCTAAAGCTTTTGTGCATCGCAAGAACATACCGACTCATTCTTTCGCAGCTTGTTATGACCCCGACATTTTAAAAGCCACTCTCGAGCTGTCTAATGCAGTAATTCCGTATTGAGGGTTTCCTCCGGTTCAAGGGAATGAGACATGAGAAGTACCAACGTTTTTGGTACTATCTGTCACCTTCAGTTGCACCAATTAGTTTCGCCACCAAACGGCTAGAGATCGTTTAGTGCGACAACGCTCTCATTGAAAGGAATATGTTGCATTTGCTGGACGAAGCTGCAACTCGCCAGACTTTTTTGTCTGCTCATAGCTGTAATTTTTGTTGCCTTTTTGGTTGTCTGGAATGGCTGCGATTTCTGATCCCTGTTTTCCGATTGACTGAGCTTTTGCACTTTTGAATAGTGAGATGAAATTTGGTGAGTGTGATTAGAAGGCTGCTTTCAAAGTCTCAAAAGATCTACATACTGGAAATTTCAGATTTCTTAGAGTTCAAGGAGTATTTTGATTCATCGTAAATCCAAGCGAAGATGCGCATGTTTGAGTAAATTATATTCAGTTATTTTCAGCACAAACACCACCATCAGATCGAACCCCATGTAGCAGGTTGGCGTCTGACCTCATGCAAATGTACATTAATAATCAAGATACCGATGTTATTATACGAACAGAAAGTGGTGATCTGCATGCACATAAGTATGTTGTTCTTCCACCTTACAAAAAAGTTTCACAGATGCATTGTCTAGGGAAGTAGAACTTGTCGCCCAGCCAATTCTTTAACTCGATTCTCACTTCGGGCGATCTTTCCTCTGCATACTAAATCGTTAGCATCCGTTTGTCGATAGCTTTTGAAGTGAGGCTGGAGCTAATGGGTAGGGCAGTGACCAAACTAAGAGATCAATTGCACTTGGAGGAGTAGAAAATCCACATGCATTCTGTTCTATCTTCTATTAGTCGTATTGTGTTCTTAATTCGCAGAAAACATTAGGAAAGTTTTCATTCGTATCTCTTCAGAAAGCTTCCACAAACCGATGTCTGCGGAAATTCAATACCCATCTTAATTGTTCAAAAAACACGAAAAAATAAAAAAGAAAAACCAACTTAGTTATAAATAGAATACCAAAATTGATATTCTCTAGAATCATGACCAGAAGCCGTTCGCTTCCATCGAAAGTGTCGCGTGAGTTGTGAAGTAACCGCATTTTTCAGGCTCTACTTTTTACTCTTACTACTACTTTTACTCTTATTTTTTTACTTCAGTTCGATGCCAATTTTTTGAAAGTTGATGAATTAAGCCCTGCGCCAATTTCAAACGACAGCAACTGTTGAAATTGCAGAATAGAAAATGTGGCTTGATTCCTATTCTCAGTGACTGATATGGTGTACTTCAAAAAAAGCACGTTTGTGTAGTTTGCAAATTATGTTGCCGAGTTCAGTAAGAAAAGCTTTACAATCAGTAACAATTGGATACGTGACACGTTTTTACGGAGGGCACACAATTTCTTGCTTTTTCAGGTAAGATTCCTGGTGTTCAGCAAGAAGTTACGCTCTTCATCAAAAAGTTGCTTGCCTAAAACCTCGGAATTTATATTGCTTCCCGATATCACCTCAAGGGGCAGGAGGCTAAATCTCATACTTTGCATGAGAAATTAAATTCCAAAATCTCACATAGTTGAAATCCATTTTCAAAAAGCAATTTAGTGATAAGAGGGTTGTGTCACAAATTCCCTTTTCGAATTGATACGTTCAGCACCGACTTTTCACCTTTTTCGTTCACTCGTCAACCCAATTAGCTATCTGGCTCAGTTGAGCGGGACAGAGTATTCATTTAAATTGCTCTGATGTGCGCCATCAACCAAATATACTACGCACTTGGCATTCTCATTGAATGGGTACAGCTGATACACACAACAAATTCCAATGAAGCAGATCGTTTGCAGAACATGTCCCGTTTCTACCGAGATTGAGTCATACTTTCAAATTTCGAAGTAGGGAAGATCTTATTGAACTCGTGTATAGTATAATTTGCAAGCTATAAAGGAGTGCTATTTTTGAAGCATATCTATTTCATAAAGATAGAATTAGGTCATATTTGCTATATTCATTCTCAAAAACTGCTGTCGTTTGAAATTGGCGCATGGCTGAATTCATTTTTGAAAAAATTGGTATCGAAATTATTGGCAGAGTCTGAGAAATGAGACTATCTACCTTTCGTTGAATTCTGCAATAAGTTGGTTACTTACATTCACCGAATACTTTCGATGGAAGCGAATGCTTACTGGTTACTAGTATAGCGAAGGTCGGTGCTGGTGTTGTAGCGCTCGACGAGCTGCGTCGAACTATGTGACATTTCCAATGAAAAAAAGTGAAAATCGACCCATTTATATAGGAGTAACGGAAAAAAGTGGAATTGCGTTTCTTCTCGGTTTTATGAACAATTAGGGTGGGCACTGTAACTCAACTTGCGAACTACAAGCAGTCAATCAATAAATGCAGTCCTCGAAGAGACATGTCTTTCTAGAGCCGACTACAGTAGCAAGAATAAGGAAACTAGATCAAGCCTTTTTTTGGATGGGCCTCATTATTCCGGCATTCACACAGGCTTGTAGTGTTTTTTTAATGAGTGTTTTCTTTAGCGCGTTAGCATAGGTAGAGGTCAGCTCCTCCATTATCTATTCATGTCTAGTGCCGAAGTAGTTCGTGTGCATGTATATTACCAATTTCAGGTGCATTCTTTCAGCAACATGTCCGTTCTTTCGACAACAATTGCAAAAATCGAAACGGATAGAAATGAGAGGGTAATTAAATTATTGATCTGTGAAGCCACATCTACGGCTTTTAAAGGCAATTCTTGAAAATTTGTTTCAGTTATTCACGTAACGCAATCCACTTTTTACTATCGTTCCTCTATGGTGGCCTCACGACGATTCCTGAAGAGGTTGGTCACGAGCAATTTGCTTTTCGAGGCATTGTGACTTCAAGATGAATTACTACAAATGCATGAAACGAAATATACATTCATCTCTCCACTTGCCCTTCAGGTTGACGTTTGGGAGGTCATCGCTCTGGCTACTCATTTAAATCATAAAGATCTTGCTGATGTCGTCATTCTTCATTTGAAAGCAACCAGATGTCATTGGTTCCACCGCGTAAGTCACGTTTCTGACCTGTAACGCCCATTGATGTTTATGCTGATTTTGCTCCAACCTTTCTCATTTACCAATTTTTTAGCTATATGCGGTACCAAATACGGTAAACGTGACATTTACTTGTTGTTCAGTGTGATTATCGAGGGCGAAGCAGCGCTGATTACGCTGGGTTGCATTGAGTTCTGGTACCTTTCTCGGAATTGTGACTAACTGTAACTTTAAGTAGCTAACCTTCAGCATGACCATTTCATAATGAGCCACTGTCAGTCAACGTCTTCTACCCTTAACGGCCCAGTTCACGTTAAAATTGTGTTAAGTATGTGCTCATTATTGAGATCGCTAGGCGCTGATCTAATTTTCGCGCCCGAATAACGGTCTATTAACTCAGTAATTGACCAATCACAAGTTCTCTCACCAGTTCGTCTTCAGTTGGTTCGACTAAAACATCCTCATAATATACTCTCAGTATCGACCGATTACCTGCGGCTCACCGACAACAGTGGCGATCGGGATCATGGCGACAACGACGGAATTCCTGCCGCTCCTGGGCCGCTCAGAGACGCTGTAAAAAGAGCCGTTCAACAGGAAATGCCGAAATCGGCCTCACATGTAGTGGAATCGGACAGAAGCTTTCGACGTGCCAGCAGGGCAATTTGCGGAGTTCAACTACGACCCCGACGCGGACCTGGCATTCGAAGGGTGGTACCGCCGTCAAGACATCTTTACTGTGGATGCCTGGATATTCGACAAGTCAAATCGAGTTCGACTACTTCTCCACAAGTGAGATGCTGCAGCTTACGGTAAGTGCTCCAACTATATTCTGCACAAGACATAACCAGATGTCACATTCGAAGAGTCTGTGTCAACACTCATAAGCCTGTTCGGACTACAGTTATTTGTTCACCGCTACGCCTGTACGAAGTTGACCAAGGACCCCAACGACGACTTTTTCACCTACGCTTGACGTGTCAACCAAGAATGTGCTAAGTTCAGGCTGGCAGAGTGCGACTAGGATCAATTCAAGTGGATTATCTTCTTAAGCGGTCTACAATCCGGCAACAACACCTGCGTTCGCCTAACATTACTAAATAAGATAGAGGCCAATCTCCGTCCAGCCTGTCGAAAGAGTGCAAGTGTCCTTCTTACTCGAAGCAAAGCACGAAAATGGTGGAAGATGGGACACCTGGCTTACATGCAATGGAGCCCTCGTCTGCTGAACGGCGACAACCGCTTCAGAAAACTTCAAAGGGTGTTATCCACTCAGAAGCGTAGCTCGATCCGGACGCTCATCAGAGCCGCTTCCAACTCCGTGCTGATTTTGCGGAGCAATCCATTTCGTCAGATTCTGCTTGTATCGACGACACAAGTGCCCCGACTGCCACAGAATAGACCACAAGGAGGGTTTCTGTGACTCAAGGCGACGACAATATCGTGCAACGCGCCCCAGTCTTCTTTCCACGAGGCCAACCACTAGATCTGATGCCGAATTACTGTGTCAAGTGTACATGGCAACTGCCGGCGATTCGTCGCAATAGTCGTGGGCGGGAAACCTATACATTTCTAAGTGGAGAGTGCAGAGACATCACGATTATCAACGAGTCGACATCGAAATCGATGGGCAAACCACAGTTGCAGTCTCCGTCGCTTATCGCTCATAGCGCCTCAGGAGATCGGATCATGCTCATAGGACAGCGAAATTGCTCGATTCAAAATGTGCTCGGAAGACGTTTCACGTCGGCCGTACTCAGCCATATCTACTAGGCTCAGAATGGATTTTCGAGATGGGAATCCACAGCAACATGGATTCACTCTCGAATGTCGATCCTGCACATTCAGCCGTAGTCAACGTTAGCAGCAACTGATCGAGCACTGACTGCATTGCTAAGGAGCTCTAGAAAACTTACCCAGAAGTCTTCAACAGCTAAGGAGCTCTAGGAAACTTACCCAGAAATCTTCAACAGCAATCTCCGATTGTAAATACAAAATCCAAGAAGCCACTCTTCGCCTAAGAAGTATGCGGAACCAGTTTTCCGCCCGAAAGGAATGGTGCCGTATGCATCCATACCAGTCGTGGGAAGGAGTTCGAACTTTTCGAAGTAAATGTAGTGATTTCAAAGTTCAGTCATCGAAATGTGCTCATTTTCTGCGCGTGTCGTTCCCGCGCGCGGTCGGTGATCGCCCTGCTCTGCTCCTGTCTATTTCTGTCTTGGGTGAAGTCAAGAACTGCCGTGAAAGCCACCTGATCAGGTCATTTCGCTAAGGATTTTTGTTTCTACCAATAATTGAAGGTCGTTTCGAGTGATCGTAGTGCGTTATTTGACCTACGGTGTTGCTCATTTCCTTGTGATAGGGAAACATTTTTCTTTAAGAAGTCTCTTTGCCACCTTATTAGGTTGTTCATATTATGAGTGCAAGCAACTCTTTCACTCCTGTGGCCTCTCATATTCAGGACCGGCCCCATAAAAATAAGCAAACTTGCGGTTCTCCGGCTGGCTCGTGTTGATACTGCGGCGATCAACAGCCCCCTCCAGACGACACCCTCACTCCACACGTCAAAGTTATACTGGCTCATCTATTGGAGAAGAGTACCGTAACTGTGGACTTACTCCAACGCAATCATAATTTGGAGGATGAACTTCATGTTCAAAAAGGTGAAAACAGGTTCTCAAAAAGGATTCGTTCATTGACGAAGGCCCCGGATGAGGAAAATGGTCCCCTCTCTCTTTATCGTCTACTAGTGCTTTTTTCTAATAACCATGTAAATTGCTGTGAAGAATATGAAAGAATTAGGTCAGTCGTTATTTCTGATGTTGCCGAAAGTGCTGATCCTAGTACTGCTGTTCGCTCTCCCTCTGATGCCGATGTTATAAGAAAATTTCATTGTCCTCCTCAATTGAATGCGTACCTACCTCTTTCTTTCGCACAGGTAGACCGAACCATACTCGCCCGGGTTTACTCAAGATGGTTCTCCCCACCTCATCCTTTCGGCAGCAACTACTTTCTCGAGCATCCATGTTGAAGGTATTTATCCATGTTGAAGGTTCCATAAAAGGTATTTATATCACGCCATCGTTAGCTAAAGCTGAACGTGATCGTTTAAGGGTCTTAAGAGCTTCTAGGCTTAATAATGCAGACGAAGACGTTGTAGTTGCGAGTAATTGTATTGCTTCAGTTGAGAACCAAACTTCGTTAAACTTCGTGTTGCATCTTAGCCAACATTAGGTCCTTACCAAAAAACGTTCATTCTTTGAGCTTTGAAATGTCACGTCAAGAATGTGATGTGGTTGCGTTGACTGAGACTGTTGAAGAAGAAGCACAATATACAGTCCTTGCTGGGCGATATTTTTTCGTTTTATGAGGAGGTTAGTAGCGACAGGCTAAGAAAAGAGAGGGGCGATGTTACATTCCTACTGAAGAGATCCTTATTTCTGATTCCCGTTACTGTGCATGCCGATTCCGTCTCCGATGGGTATAAGACAGGTTCACGTGATGTCTCTTTGCATGATCGCAGTTATTGACTCATCTCGATTTATAGAACGCCTAAATGCTCCGCAGAACATAATTCGCAATCGGTTATGTGTATCATTGATCTATCATCCTGTAACATTCCATGCCTTCTAATGGGTGATTTCAACTACCAGGACATAAAGTGGCATGATGCTCTGTCTCCGCCTTCATCGGCATCTAATGATTTCTTGCAATTGCTCAGGAATCATGGCTTCACACAACATGTAAATATGTCTACTAGAAGAAATCATGCACTCAAGCTACGGTTCTGTAATGAAGAAGGGTTTATTGAAAAAGTTCTCATTTCCTCCCTCTTAGGCTCCTGTTATCACGCCTCTATTCGCTTTTCCTTGGAGGGTCAAAGAAGCTTATAAATATGTTTACTCTAAACTCTAAATATGTTGGTGGGATGACTTTGTACTAGGATAGTGTTGATTGGTTAGGTGTTTTTCAGTATTGTCTTTCGGTAAATGAAATGTATGAAGCTTTTCTTTTCATATTAAAACATTGCTTGGATCTCTTCGTTAATTCAAATAGGGTCCCGGTCTCCTTTGAAAACATTCCTGATTACTTAAGACATTGGTTTCGTCTTAAGGAAAAAGCTTGCAGAAACGCTTCTGGCTCAATTTGGAGGAGGATTGGACTAATTACGAGCGCATTTCTGATAAGTTTAACCACAAATTTTTTAGGTTTAGCTGTTCTATTGAAAAAAGATAATGTCTTCGAATAACAAGTCAGCCCTTTACACATACGTTAACCAATGAATTAAGCGAAAAGAAGCCATAGGATCCCTTAAAGCAGCGATGGGTCCATTCTCACTTCTGACTGTGACAGAGCCGAACTACTTGCTGATGTGTTCGAAGCTGTAGGCTGTTTAGGATTGTGGTCCTGGTCGACCTCCTTCTTTCGAGAGCATTAGTTTTTCAAGAGTGGCTGAAACGGTTTGGTTTGATCGGAACGAAATTTACTCATTATCTATCGGTGGCCAACTTGCACCTCTACCATACCGGATGGTATCCCTTTTAAGTTTATCGAACTGATCTCAGTTTGCATTTCCTCTCCTCTAAGATATCTCTTCAATCTGATACTCTTTCGGGCAGGAGCTCCCAAAAGGAAGGGACATGCCCTTGTCACCCTGCTGAAGAGGAAATCTCCTGCTTATGATCCTTCCAGTCATAGGCCTATTAGTATCACATCTCTTTTCTGCCGAGTTTTTGAGAAGATTATTAAAAGAGAATAGAACTTCATCTGAAGGAATATGATGTTTTGCCTCGTTGTCAACACGGGCCTAGAAAAGGTAAATCACCGAAGCTCATGTGTTGGAATCTCTCAATAAATGGACCATCGCTATGGATTCTAAACACAGCATTGACGTTTCTTATCTGGGCTTCCAAAAAGGATTTGACAAGGTTCCTCATGATTTGTTGCTTCTAAAATTAGAGCAAGATGGTATTCACCGTAGGATCACCACTTGGATCAGAGCCTTCCTATTTCAGCATACGTTCCAGTTCTTCGTTGACGAAGGATCGCCCACTATTAGGTGTCACGTTCTGGAATGCTTCAAGGTGGTGTTCTATCTCCTTTATGGTGCGGTATTTATGTATATGATCTGCCTGGAGTTGTTGTTGGTGACACAATCAAATGTAAAATGTTTGCGGACGATGTCAAGATATTTAGCCCGGTTCCACCCTACAAGCAACTATTGAGCAGTACTTCAATGATCTTCTTGACGGAAGCTTCCTCTTTCGCCCGCTAAATCAAGAATTCTTCATCTTGGTCGTAACAACCCTCACATGTCGTACTCTACATGTGGCGAACCCCTTGTCGAAACCGACACTGTTCGTCACTTACGTTTCATAATTGATAAAAATCTTTCCTTCGAAGAATATTGTCGTTGTATCGTCAACAATGCCGAGGTTAGGCTTTTTCAGTTGTTCAAATCCTTTTGTTCTATTGATCCCTGCCCTCTTATTAAAGCATACAAACTTTATGTGAGCCTATGCTTGAATACGGCACATGTGTTTTCACCCCACACAGTAAATCGCTAGTGAATAAGTTAGAATCAGTTCAGCCTAGTTTCACAAGTAAGGTATTTATTCGTTCTCTTGGTTTCACGTTGTTTCGACGGGTCGGTGGTAGAATGCTCGATAGGACATTTATTCAAGTATTTATTGGGTCAACAAGTCGTAAATATAATTCGGACCATTGCAAAGTCAAACAGTCTGAGGATTGTGCAAGCTTGTTTGTCTTGTTTGGAATTGCTGGTGGTGGGTCCGACAGGCGACAAGTTGGAGCGCTCAGCGTATCTTCTTTGAATTGTTGCACCGCACCGCTCTCGTTCGTTGTATTGGAAACGATTGTCTGACTTACTTGTAATTGGGTCGTTGGAGAGCGGAGGGCGAGGAATTTGGAGTTGGGAGCAGTGCCGTTGACGGCTCTGCCCGATTGTTTCCTCGTAATCGAGCTGACGAAGAGTCATGACACACGTGTAGTAGTATTCCCCGTCGTGCAATTCGGAATAAGGCACTGAAGCTCGAATCCCTTAGCGTTGGAAGAAAGCGTAATGGAACTGGAATTAAGTGATTTTTTCCTTCTGAATCCTTCTTCTACTGGAGGCCAAAGTTTCACAAATGTGCTTCACCAACCTGAGTCCATTTTGTGACGCAGCTTTTTCACGTTCAGGGCAGGTTATGAATACACGAAATTGAGTAAAAGTTGCAGATTCCGTGTTGTTTTTCGGGCTTCAAAAGAATTGTCAACAATCATCTCAACTGATGAAACTTTTATTAGTGATCTATGGTATTGTTTTGTTTGCGCTCTTCCATTTCCTCTGCCGTTTTCCGAAATTATATTCCACGTTACTCAGTTACCATGTTGGAGTTGTTCTTATATATTGAGTTTACTTGGTTTTACAGTTATCTCTGAATTGCACTTTGAATGACATGTGCTCGAGCATGTTAATAAACCTAGATCTAAATCTATAGTTACGTGCGGAAGTCGAATGGATCACTGAGGCTCTGCGCCGACTTCTCACCGGACCTGAACGATGCCTTGGACCTTCATCAGTAAACACTACCTCTGCCCGAAGATATCTTCGCGACACTCACCGGCGGACAATACTTTTCTCGTGTCGATTTTGCTGAAGCATATCTCCAGGTCGAAATGGCTCAGCAATCGACGTAGTTGTTACCAATAAACACCCGCCGAAGACTATACCAATCCATCAGGCTACTCTTCAGGGTGAAAACAGCTCCAGCTACTTTCCAGCAGGTTATGGACACGATTTTAGCCGGCTTGTCTGGAGTAGTTGCAAGAGTAGTAGAGTGCATATCTGGATGACGTTATCGTTGTGGGATGCACCGAATAAGAGCATAGGAGAACCCTCGACGCCGCTTCCAAAAGAATTGCTGAGAGTGGACTCCATGTACGCACAGAAAAGAGGCGGTCTGTTACTACCTTGAATGCATCATCGACAAGCACGGACGACGCTGGGATCCGAAAAAATTGAAGCTATCCCCAAGATGCCTTTTTCAAAGGACATCTCACACCTTCGATCTTTCCTAGGACTTCTGAGCTATACCGGTACTTTCATAAAGGGAATGCAAAGCCTGCATGCCTCTTTCGACGCTCTCTTAGGAAAGATGCGAAATTCAGCCGGACGAAGGAATTCAACGACAGTTTCAGCCGAGCGAGAGCAATACTTTCTTCAGATTTTCTACACGAGCCTCTGCTCGCAATATTATGCTCAAAGAAGGGAATACCAGTCCCGAGATTACAGATTCACTCTCTCCTTATTGCAGAGTTTTCTGCCCCTCGAGAAGAACTAGTCGTCTACGCCATTTCTGTGGTTGAGGGCATCAAATGCACATTTCAAATGCAGCTCAAGCACAACCGGTCACCGCGGATAAGTCTGGAGAAGAACTGCCGAGGATCACCTTCTCCAGCAAGTCTTTAGCTTCCTGAGAGGAGCATTGTCGACAAAATTGACCGATTTAAAGCTGCTTTCTTTCTACAATCGTCGGAATGTGCTCTCAACGCTCGACGAATGCCTACTAATGGCCGATGGAGTGGTCATCTCAGAACCCCTGCAATCACGCGTTCTTCGACAATCACACAACGGATATTCAGGAATTGTACGCATGAAGGCTTCAGCGCGTAGCTATGCCTACTGGCAGGAATCGACCAGGATATTGGAAACAATGTTCGGCGCTGCATCAGATGCCCGACAGCCGCCAAGCTTCCGGTCAAGCCCACTCTCGCATCCTGGCCACGACCTAGTGCACCCTTGACTCGAATAAAAATCGTTTATGCCGGCCCATACTAAAGAACTCATTTTTTGGTAATTGTCGGTGCCTTTGCAAATAGCCAGAGATTTTTTTAACACCAGCAGTACCACGATGGACGTCACAATCGCGCTACTACGGAGGACTTTCGCAAGATATTGGGTTTCAGAGACACTCGTTCCCGACAATGGAACACAATTCACCTCGGAGGGATTCGAAAGATTTTGAGCAAATCACGGAATTTAGCACATCTTCTCCCCCTCATATCATCCACTATTCAGTGGACAAGACATTGATCCGTTCTACAAAACTAAGGAACGTCAAAGTTCAACTATTCAAGGGAATTGCAGTTAGATGGGCATCATGGCTTCCGGAATCGCGTATTTAGCCGAGGAGACCCAGTACCAGTGCGTTAGTATCATGAAAATCGAGAAGAGTGAAGCAATGAAAAAGTAGTCAAACGAGTTGGGAAAGTACTCTACAAAGTACTCACAGACAACAAAGTTTGTATTCGACTGTCAACCAGCTCTTGCTGCTATTACGAGGTTGCGCCAGAGCAACGCCACACATGGAAACACTTTTGAAAATGTTCGAAATCCCACGGCAAACGACACCTTCGTTCCAATCAAAAGACTCGTCACCAGAACTATCGGAATACGCCGAACAAGCATCACTAATGGATGATAGCCAGGACTGCCAGCCACGACTATCGACGTGCATACGACGGCCAACAACTCGTCTTCAAATCCATCCTCGTCAGAAGACCTATTTTCAATTGTGATATAAGTAGATACATATTATACGTAATTATATCCCAAAAAGGGATGTGATAGGTATCTACTCAGACGAGATCACTGGGCGCTGATCTGATTTTCACGCCCAAATTAGGTATATGGCCACAGTAATTCACCATTCACCAGTTCTCTCATCACTTCGTCTTCAGTTCGTTCAACTAATAAATCTTCCCAGTATTTTTTTGAGTATCGACCGGCTACTTGCGGCACACCGACATAACAAATGATCTGAGATTTCTATATAGGGTGAATCTGTCCCCAACTCCTCCTCCGAAATAACGCAGGGGACTCTGTCGGGTCGAAAAACAGTCAAAGCAGGTTGTAGTAAGGGCCCCCGAAACCGCTTTAGTCGACGTAAACACCCAAGGCGGACGAACTGTTAAGCGTTGTAAAAACTGTAGGGGTTGCAATATTTACACCAGAACCCACACATCATCGCAGACAGCTTACTGTAGTCAGCTGTATACAATGGCGCGCAGCAGAACAGCTCGTCCAAATATCCGTTCCATGCAGGTTTTTTCGTAACATTCCGTCCAACCCGTGATTTTACTTCTTTTTTGAAGCATTGTATTTCACTAAGTACGCCGATTTTCGCATTCTCTTCCCCATTTTTACACTAATCTGGACTATCATTTCCATTACCCGTCTGAAACTAGATAACCCAAAAGTATCGTGAACTGTGCCCTTAAGGTTGGTGGAATGACAACTTTGTTAGTGTATGTATTACTGTTGTAAAGGTGGAAGTCTATTTTAATTGTGAACAATGCGAACACCTCAACTAGCCAAAGCTCAGAACTTCTTCCGATGAGTATGAAATTAGCTACATAGTCAGTGGCTCCATTTGCATTTGTCGTATTCTCCTGTCAACCTCTGCCGACTACTTTTTGTTTGAAGCCTCAGCATGACGTTGGAAAAGGTTCGATACCGAGCTATATCTCCATCACCAATCTACCCTCTTTCTCTGTCAATGGCATCAAAATGATGCTGTCAGAGTAAATGCAGTAGAGAAAGTGGATGCTTTTTCAAAACAAAGGAATCTCCTATACGTGCCATTGCCTTATCTGTGGTTCATTGTTCACATTAATACTTGTGTTTCCTCTTCCTTGTCAAGTATTGTTTCCACTCCCTTGTCAATTCTTGTGTTCCCACAACTTTTCACACGTTTTTACGTGTTGTAAGAAACTGCGATACATGTGGGTAGATAGGAACTCATACCTGTCTGAATAAACAGATGAGTTCACGAACATAAATACTCAACAATGCACTAAATGATGTGCGATAAGAGGGTCTTTACTACTACTACGCTCATCTTTCTTCCGTTTAGCTGTGGACACATCTGTGACGAATGCCTAGAATTTTGAAAAAGGGAACTTCAGTGGTAGAGGGTACGGATGAAGCTGGGAGGTTTAGTGGGTGGACGGGGGGGGGGTAGCAAGAGAAGGGAGTGTGGAAACGGTACAAAATGAAATGCGAGAAAAGAAAAAGAAAAATGAAGGATATTAATGATCACGTCTTTCCATACTTATTGTTTGCAATCACAGAGCAAGAGTCAGTTTAGAGAAACTCAGCTATCGTATTGAATTTTACTAATTCAACAAAAGCCGGTATAATATATTAGACTTTCAAGAAATTTTTCGCCGAAAAATTCGGAGCATCAAAAGTTTCGTATACACAGTGTGAACACGTCAGCAAAGGCAATAAAGTTCTAGAACATTCCCCGAGCAGTCAACAATGAGTAGACGAGGACGCGCACGTGAGCTTCCTAACTTTACAGTCATTGATTGGACAAGACCAGATTCGTATTATCATGTTCTATTAGGCACACCAAGGGAACAATGCAAGTGTAACGGCTGAAATTACCTGCAACCTATTAGCTCGAGGCTTTGTTCTCATGTCAACGGTCAACAGTTGGTTGAATTGCTTCATTGCGGGAGATACTATCCTCCAAAGTCCCTTCAATGAGACCAAAGATGGTGTAGTAGCATGCATGTCTTAGTCTTGTGGGGCGTAAAGCATCTCACCCACTATGACTTGCTGAACGCGGAATGGGTAGTCACAGCTATCGCTTATCCCTACGAATCCCAGCTCTAAACAACATAGTTGAAGAAAGACGTTCGAAACTATACTCAGGTACCTACAGCACGCACGTCGAAATGTCGCTTTAGAGAGCCGAGAAAAACCGGTGTTTGGTTCCCTGTTGTTCATCAATCGTATTCCGTTGCTCTTTTTAATTAACATGCGCTCCGCCTTTTCATGCATATCTTTGTTGGAAAAATGTTCGTAACTCATTATAATCCGTGACAGTCAGTAGCTTCTTTGACAGACCTAAAAACGGCATCAATGATTCTTTGAGTCACAGTTTAAAAAGAAACACTGAAAAAAACTCCTGACTTCTAAAAAAAACATCAGCGATTCGCTCGAAGGATAATAGAAGGTTGTTTATAGCTCTCTGGTTAACATGCTTCTGATATTTGATTAGTTTGGAAAACTCTAGTAGTGAATTCAAACTGACTTTCTTCTTGTCGAAAAATCTTTTTTGCCAAGGTATTTGTTACATCGTAGAAGGATAATGCTTGCAATGAAGTGTACTTCAAGCAACAATCTGGGCGACTAAATGTAGGGGGTAATAGAACTGAGTATATCAAATGTTTTTGCCTGTATATATCGAAGTTATAGCCATGTGCTTCATGTGTATCGGCTGTCTTTGATGCCCTACCACAATTCGCATCGATCCGGTGTTTGAAGCCACTTTACGACGAGGTGAACTTCTTTCCAGTTTTGTAAATCACAAATAGTGGTGTGTGACTGCTTTTCAAATGTGTCGAACTGCCATTAACTGATCTGCGGTTTCGGTTTAGCCTAGCAGAAGTCATTGACTACTTCGCGGTTCACGGACCATTTACCTCGTTATAACAGTTCTAGCGTTCTTCATACAGCTCAATCGCTATGATATTATTACTTATGGCACGACTCTACTGTTAATTCTTTTGCTCCTGCATTTCTCACTTGCTGCTGCATTCTACTACATTCCTTCGCGTGCGGCGTCTCTCGCGGTGACGCGACAATTCCATTCCTACTGCACCACGCCCATTGACTACTTCTACTAACGAAATTCCTCTATGTGAAGTTTGGTAAGCATGAACTGCCATTTTATTGGGCAGTTACCAAGCAGTCGACAAAACGTAATTTCTTTCGGTGTTTCTCTTTCAATAACATTGCATAGGTCTACTATTTCGGGCCATTTTATCCGATAGTTTGGTACTCTTCTCACTTTCTTTGCTAAATGAATTAGGCAGCTTTTGGATGAGAGTTTAGAGAGAGACGTCACTGTAGATCAACGAGCTTTATCGCGTTTCTGCTATGCAGAGACTTTATGGTATAAGAATTCGAACTTAGGATTATTTGTACCAAGCTGTAACCTTGGGATTATGTGAATAGGGATTTACGAGCCACGATAGTTATGTTGGAGGCACTATTTACAATGATTTCGCAGACCTTCATTAGAGTAGTAGTCTGTTGCAGCAGCTTTGTATGGGTTCAAAAGTTGTTGCAATTGGTTATTTAAGCGTCGTGGATTTGAAGAAACAAAAACTTGCAGAAAAAAACGGAATTTAATGTCGTTCTTGAGCTAAACATTGCTAAGGCTGGACGAGGTCACATCGATGAAGGGGATATTTGACGTTCAGTTGCTGCAGCCAATTTGTGGGATTTGCGTGTACGTGTGTATGTCAGCTGATTGCTTTCACAACAAACGTGCTCCATATAGATATCATCCTTATCTCTCTTACGCTCGTGTTGTTTGTTTGCCTGTCTATCTACAGTAACGGTCGAAGCATTTGCCAAAAGGTTTTTGTTGATATTTTTCTCTTGCTTGACCGATTTGCTTGAAAATTTTATATGTAAGCGTTGTCACAAACAAAATACATCACCGGCTCCTCATTCCAACAACATACGGCAAGTAAAGAAAGCCGACTGCATAATCTTCCAAAACAACGCAAAATCGAGATCCATGTAAAGAACTATTTAATTTACAAAGTTGCGATAATTCGCTCGAATCAAAAACGTAGCTACTGCAAGCAATTGATATTTTGTCAGAAAGCCACGATTTTTGATGACTGCTGCGCAGCTAGCTGGCATTGGTCCGGTGAGCCTCTGAAAAATGGCCGTCGGCATGGCGTTGCATTTCTTCGCAAGTAAAGCAAATTTTTGATCTCTGTTGCTCCTTGGTTGCTTAGCACACCACCTCTCCATTCTTCCCATATGTGTTCGATCGAATTGAGGTCCGGAGATTGGCTCGGCCATTTCGAAAGTCTTACACTTCCTGCTGGAACGTCTTTCGCCGCATGAGAAGGGTGTTTCTGGTTATTGCCTCGTACCGGCTGGCATGTTACTTTTAGCCCATGGCAGGATTTTTTCAGTGATCATGTACGCGTAGCTTTGACGAGTCATCCTGCCTTCACTTCATTCTAAGAATAGGACCCATGCCGTCAAACGATAGTGCGCCATACATCACCACCAATACTCCACCATTGTGTGTATCTTTCTTTCACCACTAGTACGTCTCACGTACTTGATACCATCAGATTCGAAGAGATTGAATTGCTTTCATCGGCAAACAGAACGTTGCTCCACTCGCTTGATGTCCAGTGCAGGTGACACGCAGCAGACTTCACTCTTATCTTTCGATTCTTCGAGCTGATAAGCGGATTTTTAGCTGGGCGACTTCCAATCAACCCTGCTGCATTGAGCCCTCTTGTCACAGCGTTGCTGATATTTAGTATATCACTGGCACTGATCTCAGCCGCGATGTCGACGCTGGTAAGCGTGGGATCGGCCTTTG